TGAGCCTAAACAGGCAACTGCTTATTTCTTTTACTTAATATTCGTGAATTTATTCAATATTAAAAATCTTAAATTAGTTATATTAAAATGCTCATAATTGTCCAGTGGTTACTATATGTTGCTGTATAATAACATTGGAGCACATGGTAAAAAATAGGTATAACTCTTCGGGTAGGTGCAATACTTTTATTACTACATGTTTCTAATACATGAAGCTTACTTTGACCTGAGGGAACCTGTACATGCATAATATGCCTGGATTCATTATTATGTTTCTTCCCCTCTCCACTCCCCTTCCTCCATGTGAATCTAAATCTCCTTTCCTCTTGTTGGTTATTGTTGTTATCATTGTTATTTTATTTTGATTTATGACTTATAATATTTACATTCCTTTTCTCTATAGATTAAATGTGCATGATGTGTTTTAATTTTTTTAATATTCCCCTCCCTCCACCCCTGCCCCACCCTTACCCTTGGTCTTCTGTATCCCATCCCATTTGTAAATGATCTGTCTACCTGTATCCTTGTATCAATTCTCTATTTTGTTCTTAAATTGTATTTTTCTTTACTCCAAGGAGAGACACCACACATCATTTAAGCTTGTGTTTCCGATATCTTTTATTTACTACTAAATTTTCCAGGTGTACCCCTTTTTCTACAAATGCCTCGAATTTAACATACTTTAAAGTAATATCCCATTATGCATAGGCATCACAATTTCTTTATATATTTGTTAAGTTTATTGACATACATGCTGCTCTAACATGCATTGTGAAGCAAAATACTATGTTAAGTATAAACACATCACTGTAATGTGATGTGTTTAGATTTCTTGGGAATATAACTAGAAGAGGAATAACTAGGTCAAATGGAATTTATAAATTTAGTTAGTTGAGAAATCTCCATACTGATTTCTGCAGCAGTTGTACTAGCTTACATTCCCATCATCAATGTAGGAGGGTAGGCCTGTTTTAATGCCACCTCTCCAGTGCTTTTATTATTTGATATTTGAAGACTGATATTATTTGTGGTATGAAATGAAGCCCTAGCATTTTTTAATTTACATTTTCCTAATGGTCAGAACTGATGAACATTTTTTCATATTTTTTTTAGCCATTTGTACTTCTTTGGAGAAAAGTGTATTCACTTCACTTGTCCATTATCTGATCTGGGTCATTTATTTTAGGTGGTCATTTAGTGCTCTGGAATGCTGGCAGGATAATGACATTTTCAAGCTTTGACCAGGAAACTTGATTACTTAACAAGATCCTGTATGAAAAAATAAAAAGGCTGGATAAATAACTCAGTGTGAAGGATATGAGTCTAATCCATAATACAATTCCTCACTCAAAAACCAGGCTAAAAAGAAGGTAACAAATATGGAAAATATGTAGTCACAGAAAGATATTATGCTAGTGAAATAATGAGAACAGAAACAATACAGTGTGCTCTCTCACACAGAATGTGGAACTGCCAATTACATTGGTTTTGAGAAAAGAACAATGGCTACCAAAGGTAAGAGGTGGAAGCGGAGAAAGAAGAGATGTAAACTGAAAGGTATAAAACTATAATTATGTAGGATGAATAAGTCTAGGAATCTAAAATACAGAATAATGACTATAGCTACTAGTATTTTATACCAGACTAGAAATTAAGAAAGTAGATTTTAAGTGTTATTACCACAAAATAAAAGGGTACATATGTGAGAAAATAAACAAGTTAAATTGCTTCCTTATAGTCATTATTTCAGTATATATATGTAAAAAGGTAATGTTATAAACTTCAAGCTTATAATAGTGTTAATTTTTAAAACTTTAAAATATATTTCAATAGTCTATATAACATTATAGGGCTGTAAGTTCCTAGTATTCTTATTCTTATCACCCAGGATGAGATCTAATTTAAATTGAAAATACTTTAAAAAGCTAATCAATATTTCCACACATAAACTTATGCCATTCATTGTCCCACATAACATGCTAATGAGGGAACAGGATTTCTCTTCCAATACTGTCATAAGGCCCTTATAATTCACAGAAAAAATTTAGTTATTATGATTCCTATGCATGGCAGAATAATTGCTGAATACCAAAGAGGAATGTTCAGATTGTTTTATATAATCTTTGAAATAAATCATTATTAAAGTGGGACTGGCCAGCAGAAGTTTGAGTACCTAGCTTCAATAATTCAGTATTAAAATAGATTTGTGCCATATTA